ATATATATATATATATATATATATATATATATATATATATATTTTACGTTATATATATATATATATATATGTAATATATAATGTATATATATATATTATGTGTGTGTGTGCGTGTGTGTGCGTGTGTGTGTATGTATGTATGAATATATATATATATGATAATGAATAAAGTTGATTGTTGTAAATACAACTTAGCCACAGCTTTAATTGCTGATGTGTCGAGTTTCGAGTTGAAAGCAACAGGCATATGATCAAGGCAGGCATAAATGCTAGGCATACCATCTCTGTGACAGGTATAGGGGCAGTCATAATGGCGGTGGGTACAATAGTGAGTCATAGTAGAGGTGGGCTTAAGAAGTCTTTTTTTTACATCAATCATATCCTCCTAAATAAGAGCACTTTCCAGAGCCTCTCCTAAAACGAACACACTTTTCTGTAAATAAACAGATACGAGAGAGAGAGAGAATTTATTTATTAGATTTGACTCACATCAGGCCAAATGCAGAGGAGTAAGTAATGTACTAGTGGTCCAAAAATCCTTTGTTTGTTGGTTACTTTTTATATATTTGTTTTTAACGAAACAGTTAAAAAAAAATGAAAACATCACATACGTGATATGAGTTTAAATTCTAAAATACGACAATTTTTATTTTGATGCTGAATCCTGGTGGGTTCCCAGGAGAGGCCCCAATCACGACAGTCCATCTCAATTCTCATATCGACAATATTTATGTCCTCTCTCAGTCTCAGACTCTCAGAGAGAAAACCTGAAGCCCTGGACCCTGAAAGCTGAAGCCCTGAGGGCTCCAGGCCTAAAAATCTGAGACGCCTGCGAGGCTGAGACCCTGAGTCCTCTGAGTCTCTCAGAGTGCTTGGCTTTTATTAGTTTTAGACCCAACGTCAATTACAATATGTACATATAACCCACAAGGGCACAGCGACACAGTGACACAGCGACACAGCGACACAGCGACACAGCCTCACAGCCTCACAGCCTCACACCCACACAGGGCACAGCACAGTCGTTCAAGGGCCCAGGCCCCAGGGCCCAGGCCCCAGGGCCCACAGTCCCTCACTTTCTGACAGTTTTTGTCCAAACAACAAAACAATTAAATCGGAGCATAATTTTCACGAAGCGACAATCAGCTAAAAAAAACCCCTCATCTGAGTGACTGAGTCCAGTCAGTCCAGTCACAGACTCACACGTCACAACTCACACACAAGAAGAGTCGCCACAACTCACCTCACACCTTTAACTCGCGAGACAATGAGATTGCAATGCAAAACAACCCCCACAGCCCCACCCCCACTCACTGAGTCCCCAGAGACAGGCAGAATCTCGGTAATATTTCCCAATTTAGGAATTTGAATTTTGAGAACACAAATTGCGAAGTATTTATAATGTACCCCTCATTTGTACTATTTTTGGGAATATTTTTATATAATGAGAGGCAGCTGGACTGTGCAGAGCAATCAGGAAACATCCTAATCTAAAAGGGGCACACCAACACGTGCGGTGAACACCCCAAAACAACTAGGAATGTTCAAAACACGAACCATCAATACTACATCACGGTGACGTGGTACTTTTATAAAACTAGTCAAAGGCAAACTGTACGGATAGAAAATAACTATATGCACATATATATGCATTGAAATATGGGTTCGAGGATAGTGGGGAAGCTACTAAAATATCCGGCCTCGATGCGGGAACAGACTAGCAACCACAGAATTTTAAGAATCTCGTCGACTCTAAACAATGCGCTTCTAAAACCGACCACTCCTGTAGGGTTTTTGCGCTGGATTCTGTTTGTGTCACTGTCAGTAGCGCTCATGGTCTACTGGCTCTGTACGACACCTCTTGAAGTTGAATGTCGATGCGCCCCTGTTACAACGCTGTCTGATCGCATAGGCGATAACCTTATATCGCAACTGAAACGTACATCGGATAAGAGGGAAAGCAAGTTGAGGGTAAGTGGTTCGGATACTAAGAGGTTTGTGTTTGAGCTCAAGAGGAAGAGTGCATGGAAGAAGTACACTAGCCAAATAAGTCGTACAGCGGCGCCCATCATCTTGGTCACAACTAGTGCGCCATTCTTTGAATTGACACTCAACTGGTACTTATCTGTGAAGCGAACGGGAGTGTTGAGTGAGATTTTGATAGTATGTCATGACACAGAGATCATCGAGCGCTTAGATGCCTACGTAGCGCAAGAAGATACCATTGGATATTACCCTGTAGGTGTCAGCGGTGAGAAGAATCCGAACTACGATACGAAAGATTACAAATCAATTGTATCTGCCCGTCCAGAGGTTATTCTACTCTTTGCTACTCGAGGCATTCCTGTGGTGTACAGTGACGTGGACACGGTTTGGCGCAACTCCCCTCTGCCCTATGTGCAGGAGATGCAGGAGAAGGGGTACGATCTTATCACCACAGCCGACAACAATGCATACTTCAACACCGAGCATTGCACTGGGTTCATAGCCGTCGCTGCGTTTCCTAGCAACGAGACTGTAGACTTTTTGCATGAATGGCATAGGGATTTGCTGGAACACGACCTGAACCAGCCGTCATTCAACGCCATAGCAACAGCTTACAAGGATGTACTTGAGATAGGCATCCTGCCCCTGACGCTCTTCCCGTATGGGAATATGTACTTCGGCTGGATGTTCAGACCCTGGAGGCAGGGTGTGGTGATTGTGCACAATAACTACATTAAGGGGTACGAGAATAAGATCCAACGGTTTAAAAGTTATGGCCTGTGGTGGCTGGGCGAGACGCCTTGTGGCGGGCGCAATGTGCTGGTGCTTTCGAAGTCTGTTGATTGTAGTAATGCTGAGTGAGCTTTAAGCTGTAAGTCGGATAGAAATGGTGGTAAGGTCTGGTGGAATGATTATTCTGGAGGGCCTAGGCTTTGTCCGAAGCTATGCTCAGTTGACCACATACTTAAAGTGCTCTAAGCAAACTAGTGGGCTATGCACCTAGCAACCGATGAATAAGGTTTGTAGGCTGCTACCAGTTGAGGCGGCACTGTCAAGGCCGAGACTGAGGTCAGATGCTGCTGGTGTTGCAAAACCATACATATCTCTGGAGCGTCTGCAGAGTACAAGTGTTGAACGTCTTCGATACAAGCGACTATCCACACAGGGCGATCTTAGTCTGTACAGTCCGTCTGTGATACAGGCGTCTATCCACACAAGACGATTTGAGACTATACAGTCCCTCGAAGCAGATACTTCGCCTCCTTCTCTAGTCTTTGTTTGAGACCTGCTTGACTCCAAGTCAAAGTTAAAGGGAGAAGCAACCAGAGACGGGAAATATGTGCTCGTAGAGAGCATAAGACCACCAATCGACTCTTAGTCTGTCAGCTACCAAGCGCTGGAGCTGGCAGTAGAAACCAGCTAGTGGAAGGTTGTCCACATTTGATATCATGTGCATTGGATACATGTTCAGAGTCGGAGATCTAACACGCGTGCTGTGAGAGTTCTAGGGGCTGTTTTCCTGCTGAGTAGAGGCATAGAGATATACGGAATAAAACCAAGAGAGTTTAGGATTCGATCCCATCCTCTCTGAATCAACGGTCAATCCGGGTAGATCTTTAATTTGTGCAAAAGGATGATGACAGTAAGCCGTTGTCTCACTTAGTTCATAGCAATTTTAGTCGACAGTGTGAAAGATGCCATAAAGAAGTACCAGCACGCAGTTTGATACACTTGCATATATCCCGATAATTATACACAACTGAACATAAAACTGCAATTCCAATACAGAAGAATAAACAGGCTCGTATTGTGTTTACACGTCATAATATTACTTCGAATGCAATCGTGTATTCATCATTGATTTCTTAATATATATATTTTATATATATATATATATAGCCATGTGTATTTATGTATGCTATATATAAATATTTGCACCACCCCAGACATCTTCAACACCGTGCTCCAAAACCAGGTCTCGATCTTCTCCGCTCTGAACTCACCTAGTAATTTGGCATAAGCAGCCCCCTGAGCTATCATGCCAGCCGGGCATGTATGTGGTGTATATTCTTATTACTGTTTTTAAATAGTTAATACACCATCTCAATTCTGAATTCTGAATTCTCACGGCTCATCAGCTCATGCAGAAGACCATTGCCGCCGTCATAGACTCAGAGTATACATAGCCTTCTCAGGAAACCACTATGTAGCATCATAGCCTTCTGAAATCAGACACAGGACTTCAGAAGGCTATGAGCATAATTGTCAGAGGTATTGCCGTATAAATAAAAAACAGGCCTAGAGTATATGTATTCATTGGTTTTTTATAATAACGGGAAGTTGGACAATGGCCTGTCCTGTGTCCACTGTCCAGAGGTGTTCAAAGTCCAGTTGTCCACTCGGTAGTCGGCACTCTCTATTCACTCTCTCTCAACCAGAGAGAGTAGATAGAGAGTCACATATGTATTGCAATAAATATAGTAAATACTCTATCAAAAAAAAAGTGCAATTGGGCAACCAATACTATTGGATTATTCGGAGACATTATCCAATCAATATCGTACAGTTGCAGTGATGAAGACAAGCGTTCTTGCGGCAGATTGTATTCATATCTGAGCACGTTTGTTCTATGTAAACACTCTAAACTGTGAAGTTCACTTGTCGTCGGTCTTCGAGTCTTCGACACTTATGTTTGTATTGATTCATTCTTTAGTGTATTTAGAATCAGACTCTTTATATCAGGAGAATCTCCGACTTCTGAAGAAACAAGCATTCGAGTGTTTCGCTTTGTTGGATACAGATACCCCCTCAGACCTCGTTTTCAGTTGATAATAGTTGGAGAGTTTTGATCCGACTCTCAAAGACGCTGCCATCTGTTGCGCTTGCTAATAGTTTGTGTAAAGAAAGACGAGGATATACTAATCAGGGATTGAGAAGTTCATGAGACCTGATAGAGTAGTAATTTGAGACAGAATAGAATAATACATACAGTTTAAACGACATTCATCAATGATACACAAGAGGGTTTATACGACTTAAAACATTGAGGATGACGTCCAATAACAGTTTAGACTTCACTGAGGATGAGCGGCTATCTCGCCTAAAGACTTTAGTACAAAACGAGGTAAGTGCACGATCAGCGGTTGCCTTCATATTGTTTGGTGCCTATATACAATACATATATGGTTACATTAGATAGATAGATAGATATATATATATATATATTATATATATATATATACTATACATTTATATATATATACGTATATATATATATACATATATATATAATAATATATA